CGGGATTGATAAGCCATGACAGCAACCAACACATCTAACCTTGCAGTGTTACATTAAATATTTTTGATATGGTATTTTTTTTTTTCACACCAACATATAAATTGTAAAATTATTTTATTGAATTGTATTATTATTTTTACAATCAATGGTCACATATAAACCCAATCAAAATTAAGAGCTTCAAATAATTTTTCAACTTGATAATCAAAAAAATATTTTCCTTCATTTTGAGTCAGGCAGCTCTGTTCAACTTGAGCAAATAATTTGGGTGTCGATACTCAAGTATCCTTTTTTTTAATTTTGGCTATCGAAATTACGTAAATTATAGATAGTCTTAAGCTTTAAAGAGAATTATTTATTCCGTCTTTCGTATTGTAGAACATAGGGAGTAGATGAAACAATCTATAGAGCTAACTAAAGTGAAAACACTTTCAACTGGAGTGTCTTAAGAAAATCAATCTTGTTGCTAACTTAATTACGATTGCAAATCCTCCACACTGACACAGACACTACACGGCTCACATCCCATTGGGGACAGCAATGGGAAATCTTGGACAACCTCTTGTTATTCTCTTTTTATACCCAAGTAGGGATGGGCATGAGCTAAGTGGGGCGATCTGAGTCCGGCTAGACAACTCTTGGGCCAAGTCATATGGGCCAGGCCTAGTCCTTGGGCAATTCTTCTGCCCATTCCCCACCCTTTGGTCTATTGCACATAACCATTACCATTTGGGTTGGGTGGGGCTGGCTTACAGGTAGGACACTTGGCCCAAGCTTGGTCCAGAATAACAGAACACTATATTTTGGCCCAAATCAATTACCTTTTATGTGTAAGCTAGCTAGGCCGCCTGGCCCAATCCCTAATTCCTAGTGATTTCTTTTTCCTGGGTCATGCTAATTCCAAGTGACAACTTGGCTGTTGAATATTCCCATTCTTACAAATGAGAGTCTTCTCTTACTTCTTTCCTAATCAAGTCTTTGTCGTGTTAATGTTATATTGCATCATATTATTTTAAATTTATAACGAATAATAGTTAATTTTAACTTAGTTTATTTAATTAATCATATCGTATTCACATTGATATGTATATCACGTGAACTCAATAATATTCAAGAATAGAAATATTTTTTTCTCTCAACTATACTTACAATCTAAGTTAAACATATACTTGATCTTTCATGGTGGCAAATCAAGTTAAAAACTATTCTAATTCCACATCTATATATATATTTATATTTGTACTTGTCCATAAATAAATAAAAAGGAGATATTTTTCTCTTAATAATACTACTTAAACGAGTTTTAACGTGTTAATATTAAGTTACTTTTAACACTAATCTAACATCGTATTATTTATAAGTCCAAGTGATCACTCTTAATTAAATACACTCTTTTACCATATGAATTAACATATCCTTCGATGTGGAAAAAGATATGAACACGTTTGATTATCATACTAGAAATAAATAAATTAGATAAAAATAATTTATTCTAATATAAAACAGATGTATAAAATACAATATTAAATGGGATATTATAACAATACATAATTTATAATTGATTGATAATACACAATATAAACGTTGGATAGTCATTCGTCGTATTAATATTAAATTAACAAAAATACTTTCAATCAATTCTAGCATTGGACAATACCAACAATATGAATAATACTAGAANCAATATTAAATGGGATATTATAACAATACATAATTTATAATTGATTGATAATACACAATATAAACGTTGGATAGTCATTTATCGTATTAATATTAAATTAACAAAAATACTTTCAATCAATTCTAGCATTGGACAATACCAACAATATGAATAATACTAGAAGTGACAATTTTAACTCATTACTCATTAATCTGCTAACCCACGCCATAAATAAATAGATTGTGTACCTATATTAATTAATATGAGTTCTAAATGAGTTGGGTAATATAATTCATTTTAATTAAGCAGGTTAATATGGATTATAAATGAGTATCTATTGGGTTTAGTATTTATTTTTTTTATTAAATAACACAAGTAATAAAATTAAATAAATATACTAATATACCAAAAGAGTAATGTCATTTGTACCTACAAATTTTATCTAATTTGCTGACATAATGATGTGGTTTAATAGGAATCATTAGATCAATAACAAATTACAATGTTTGAAGGGACCTACAGTCAATTCAAAAGNTAAATAACACAAGTAATAAAATTAAATAAATATACTAATATACCAAAAGAGTAATGTTATTTGTACCTAAAAATTTTATCTAATTTGCTGACATAATGATGTGGTTTAATAGGAATCATTAGATCAATAACAAATTTCAATGTTTGAAGGGACCTACAGTCAATTCAAAAGTCACAATAAATTAGGTCAGCAAATTATGTTAGATCTTTAGGTTCTAATAGCATTGCTCATCCCAAAAAAAACAAACACACTATTATACCAAAAAATACACACATAAATTAATACACAAAAACATACACATACTAGTACACAAAAATCACACACACCAATAAACTACCCCATGACCCAAGATCCATGGGTTGACCCATAACCCATGGATCGACCCAAGATTCACGACCCAAGGATCAATCCATAACACACAATTGACGCCCGACCCATTATGTGTGTATTTTTTTTTTATTAAATGTGTTTTAATTTTTTTTTAGTATATGTGTGTTTATTTTGGGGGGTATTAATGTGTATTTTAGTGTAATAGTGTGTATATTTTTAGTGTACTAGATCGTGCACACGTGCTTTGCATGTGAACTTTTTAAGTTATGATTTTATTTTTGAAATAATTAAATAAGTATAATAGAAAATACCTACTTATAAATCTAACATTTTGAATATTTCTATTATATAATTTGTGTAATTTGTTATGTACATAACACTACATATTTACAAAACGAATGAATATTAGTTTTTATTATTTTATTTGCTCTTAAGTTTAATGAATTATCTTCTTGTAAATTTCTACCCTTAAAGTTTATAGCTTTTTACATGAAGTTAATTATTTAGATAAATTTTATTTGTAACACCATAGTAATGGTATAAATATAATTTATAGTATGTGGGCATATATAACTAAAAAATATCACAGACACTTATTAAATTATGAAAAATATGGAAGTAATCTATTTTATGTTATGGTGGTCATTTAATTAAAAACAAATAGTTGAACAAATTTAAAAAGTTAAGTTGTGATAAGTAATTTAATGTAATATTGAACATATTCGTAGCATTGTTAATCTATACAAATAAAATGGCTTTATAGTATTACCAATGAACATAACTAAAGAAGATTTATTAAAACTAAAATATAAAAGAGAAGAAAATGAAAAGTAAGGGTTTGATAATATTATCCAAATTATATTGAAATAAATTTTATATTAAATAAGACTCTAGTGCATTTATGTAATTTCATTTGAAAATTCAAAAACTTGTCATCAATTAATGAAAATAGATAGAAATAAATAATAGTAAATTTAATTATTTTAATAATTCATTTTTATATTTTAAAAGAAAGAATATGAAAGGCTTGAAATATTAATGAAGTTTTATTAATATAAATTACATATTAATAATGTCAATATTGTGAGAGTCAAGTTGTCCAATTAAAAGTTTAACATCAATCTAATCTTATTAATATGAGTTTTAAATTAAATAAGGTTAGTATTATTTTTATATGTTGTTTTAGGGTTAAAGTAGTTAATCAAAAAATTTTCTTAATAGTATACTTTTATTAGTAGTATAGATCGATTAGTTTATGTGTATTTTAGTACATTAGTGTGTGTATGTTTGTATTTTGGTTTACAACTAATGTGTGTGTGNTTTTAAATTAAATAAGGTTAGTATTATTTTTATATGTTGTTTTAGGGTTAAAGTAGTTAATCAAAAATTTTTCTTAATAGTATACTTTTATTAGTAGTATAGATAGATTAGTTTATGTGTATTTTAGTACATTAGTGTGTGTATGTTTGTATTTTGGTTTACAACTAATGTGTGTGTATATTTTGGTATATTAATGTGTCTATTAAAAATTTTAATTATTTTATGAGTTAATCGGTTTAATCCAACTTGTTATAAACTCAATCCATTATAACTCATTTACTACGTGAGTGAAAAATGGATTTGATTTATTTTAATCCAATTCAATTTAACCCTACTCATAACCAATTCAACCCACCCATTTACCACCTCTAAATGATATCATCGTCGAAGTGTTTGTTACGTTAAATTGGATTATAATTTCACCATNTTATTTTATGAGTTAATCGGTTTAATCCAACTTGTTATAAACTCAATCCATTATAACCATTTACTACGTGAGTGAAAAATGGATTTGATTTATGTTAATCCAATTCAATTTAACCCTACTCATAACCAATTCAACCCACCCATTTACCACCTCTAAATGATATTATCGTCGAAGTGTTTGTTACGTTAAATTGGATTATAATTTCACCAACCTTGATAATATTAAAATACCTCTACAATAGATACAAAAAAAATATAATAAATATATAATTAATATACATTTTTAAAATTAATACAAAATTAAATTTATCAATCAAACAAAATATTAGACCTAATTAAATAAATAATAATACAATTCAATATTTAATCCACTCATAATTTATTTATCAAATGAGCCGTATGATTATAATACTGAAATCATTATTTTTCAATAACATATTAAAAAATAAATCATAATCATTAATTTTGCATAGATGTATAATGATTTCTAAATGCATTATTAAAAATAAAAAATAAAATATCAGAAAATCAATTTTCGGACCTTGTGAATTTGGGATTCAGGAATAATGAGGGTCAAGTCTGGCACGCAACTGCACCGCTGCTCTGGTGGCGGAAATCACCGTTCAAATATTCTACACTCCATACAATTTTGACACGTGTACATCTCTTTCCCACACACCCTATATAAATATCGCGAACCCGCCCCCTCACTTACCAAATTCTCTAACCCTCGTTCTCTGACGCCAACATCGCCTCGTCTCTCTCTCTACAAATCTGTCCAAGAAGAGAGGAGAAAAGTACACAGCTTCTAACCCTAGATCTACCTATTCCGGTCTCCCAACTCTTCCGTTCAATCTTCTTGTTTTTGTTTCTAAACAATCTCTGATCTCAAGGTAAGTTAGATCTTCCTTTTATTCCTCTATATTTTTATAGGTTTTTGGATTTTGATTGCTGATTTATTATTTTTTTTTGTTGTTAAATAGATGGTGTCCGACGCGAGCAAGAAGAAGGCGGCACAGAAGAAGGCGGCAGCTGCCGTGAAAAGAGGAGGGAAGGCCGCGGCGGCTGCGACGTCATCGAAGGCGGCGACGTCCGCTAATGCGCAAAACGGCAGCGTTGATAATTTGGCGAACGGAGTGGAGTCTCTTTTGCTATCCGATCGGACTTGTACCGGTGTATTGTGTTCACATCCTCTCTCTCGGGACATTCGGGTGAGTAATTTCGTGACAATGTGATTGAGTTGTAAATGAATTCTCCGCTGTATTTTATTATTTTTTTAGTTTGTTTTAATTAAATTTTAATGTTTTGTATGCGATGTTAATTTGTAGGACTTGGGGTTTTTAGGATCTGTTTGTTTAATTGTATAATTTTCCTTGAGATGAATAAAAGTGATTCTTGGCAGGAGTTGTTTTTGCTGGAATAACTGCTAGGCGTTTAGAGAACTAGTTGAAGATGCACGGATTCTTTGCGGAGTTTTTGGCTATTCATTATTAGCGAGAATTGGATTTATGTTCTGATTTTTTTTTTTTGTCAATAGATAGTGTGTGAAGTTTATGCATACAAATAAACTCCGATGAGACTGGTGTTACTCTTCAAAGTGTCTTCTTTATTTTGGCGATAGACTCGAACCAATTTATGGAGTTGAATACGAATGCCTTTCTTTTTCTTTGCATTCATGGATGCTCGAGAATTTTTCAAATATAGAAATATGTATATTGTATTAATAATAATTGGTCAAGGTGGGTTTCTGGTTTGGAATGAAGTATTATGGGCCTTTTTTAAAGGGTTTTTATAGTGATGATCTTGTAAAATTGGGATGTACAAGTTGATTTTTGACAAGATAATGTGTGGGGCACATGAGCTCGACTTAGACCTTATTTTTGGTGTAGGTATGATAATCAGTGGTGAGTCTTCCGTTTATTTTAATTCCTCACTTTTTCATCTAGATCTTTTTCTCTTCTATAAAAGCAAAGTTGAAGTTTGCTAAGTCTTGAGTTTTATTTACATAAGTTTCCCATGACAATGTGGACTGAACCCATGTTTTTAGTGTAATTGTCCCAGAATAACATGTAACATTTCCCGATAGAATCCCAAAATACCTTGTTGTAGTTCCTTCTGAAGGATATGCCAAGTAAACAAATTGATTGACAAGCGATGATCACTTATGGTGAAGTTTTTTCACCTGGCTCACTGGAAGAAAAATTATGATGTTGCTGTTATGATTACTGCGTTACTTCGTGTCTTTTTTTGTGACCTTATTATGTGATAAGTGTTTTGACTGCACCTTATTGTTGATATACACTATGCTTGCCTGAATTTTCAGGTAATTTATGATTATAAGATTTCAAGAGTACTGGGCATACTTGTCTATGCACCTTTTGATGTAGATTGCATACTTTGAACAATCTTTGCTTGTAAAGTTTAATCCAATGGCAAGAAAATTTCATGTACTTGACTGCACAACTAATTATGAAACAATGTTTTCCTTTGGCTTTGTCACACTCTAAGATTTGTAGCAACTACTTGCTTTCTAACTTCTACATGGGTAAATATTCGCTTTTTGACCACCTATTTTTCTTATTTAGCAGCTGATTAGTTTTCTTTTACCTGTTAAACGATTCTTCCAATTGGTATCTTTTGTAAAAATGGTATCACCTATTTTAATATGGAATTGTTGCCTCATTTGATGGCCGGGGTTAGTTGATCTTAAAATGATACTGATTCTCATCTCCAGTCATTTGCTAACTTAGGTCCGCTGGTCCAGATATTTACTTGTTCAATACGAGTATAGAAATTAGATCTTTAGATGTTTCATGTTAATTGTAGGATGTATTGCTCAGCTTGGTGCTGCATAGCCTTTAATGTGTGCACGGACACAAGCTATACTTTCCTTATTTTTCTTCCTTGATGGAACCCTTTTGAAGGAACAAATATGTTAAAATCCTAGGAACTACTATGAAGAATTCCTCAGATTTGTTTTAGACTTCAATGTTGTTTATTTGTTAAACCCTTTCAAATGTAGATTAATTATTTGTTAATTGACTGATCTACCTAGCTTCATCTCTGAAAGGGGGATACAATGTAAAATTCTGATCGTTTGTTATTAAAACCCTTTCTCGTGATGAAGATGGTGTTTAGGGGATCAGATGGTTTTTTGTTCATCTAAGACCTGTCTGCTTATTTTCATTCAGGAATATGTTGTGCACATGCTTCGTGTTTGCCTTGATTTCTAGTTGTAAATAATTCTGCTTTCTTCCATCCTATTGTCATGGTTTTGTTTTAACACCTGCTAGCTTCCAGTATGGCGACATTGAAGAAAAATTGATCTATGCATTTTGGTTGCAGATAGAGTCTCTGTCACTTACTTTCCATGGACATGATCTTATTGTTGACTCTGAACTGGAACTTAACTTTGGCAGGTTCGTGGTTTCTTCTTGATTCATTCTTGTATGTTGCTGTTTATTCATTTATATTCCATTCATTTTACTGCATCCTTTCAGACGTTATGGTTTGCTTGGATTGAATGGCTGTGGGAAATCTACTCTTCTTGCTGCAATAGGGGCTCGAGAGCTTCCCATTCCAGATCACATGGATATCTATCACCTAAGCAGGGAGATTGAAGCTTCTGACATGTCTTCACTTGAGGCTGTCATAAACTGTGATGAGGAGAGGTTAAAATTGGAGAAAGAAGCTGAAGCCTTGGCCTCACAGGTGTGTCTCCATGACTAGAGTATTATTGATGTCTTAGAGCATGGTATGATCAGGAATATGAGGTTAAAGTTTCATATTTGCTTTTCCTTTAGGATGATGGTGGTGGAGAAACTCTAGAACGCATTTACGAGCGTTTGGAATCCTTAGATGTAGCAACTGCAGAAAAGCGTGCTGCTGAGATCTTATATGGTCTTGGTTTTAACAAGAAGATGCAAGAAAAGAAGACACGGGATTTCTCCGGTGGCTGGAGGATGAGAATTGCTTTAGCACGGGCTCTGTTCATGAACCCAACCATCCTGTTACTTGATGAACCCACAAATCATCTTGGTAAGTTTGTTGGCAAAACATTTGCTCATATTATGACAGAGTATACTTCTGCTTTTAGCTTTCTATATTTTGCTGGTTTTGATATTTTGAAGTTTGCGTGTTGGTGATTATTTTTGAGTTATGCAATTATGCCCCGTCTTTGGAAACAACTATTAAGTGTCGAAATACGATGCGATGTCATTAAGAAATGTGATATAAATGATTAAAGATAATTACAGCTTTGTCAGTGGCCTTTTGCTTTCAAAACAATATGATTGAGGAAAGATTTGCACTATCAGTCTGAGACATTTCAACCAATTGATAGTCAAACTACAAATGTTTCACTTTCTCTGTATTGGTGTTGATGATCACAAATTTGTGGACTACAGATTTAGAAGCTTGTGTCTGGCTGGAGGAAACATTGAAGAAATTTGATCGTATCCTTGTGGTGGTTTCACACTCTCAGGACTTCCTGAATGGCGTATGCACTAACATCATCCACATGCAAAATCGGTTGTTGAAGATTTACACTGGTAATTATGACCAATATGTTCAAACCCGTACTGAACTTGAAGAGAATCAGATGAAGCAGTACAAATGGGAGCAGGAGCAGATTGCTTCAATGAAGGAATATATTGCCCGATTTGGACATGGATCAGCCAAACTAGCTCGTCAGGCGCAGAGCAAAGAGAAAACTCTTGCAAAAATGGAGCGTGGTGGACTTACAGAGAAGGTGGCGAGGGATAAGATTTTAGTTTTCCGTTTCACTGATGTTGGGAAGCTTCCCCCACCTGTGTTACAGTTTGTGGAAGTGTCATTCGGCTATACACCTGACAATCTCATCTACAAGAACCTTGACTTTGGGGTTGACTGTGACTCCAGAGTAGCACTTGTGGGACCCAATGGAGCAGGAAAGAGTACGCTGCTGAAGCTGATGACAGGGGATGTGTTTCCCCTTGATGGCATGGTGCGGCGGCACAACCACCTGAAGATTGCACAGTTCCATCAGCACTTGGCTGAGAAACTTGATTTGGATATGCCTGCCCTCCAGTTCATGATGAAAGAGTACCCTGGAAATGAGGAAGAGAAGATGAGGGCAGCAATAGGGAAATTTGGGCTTTCTGGCAAAGCTCAAGTGATGCCTATGAAGAACCTGTCTGATGGGCAAAAGAGCCGGGTGATTTTTGCGTGGTTAGCATGGAAGCAGCCCCACATGTTGCTGTTGGATGAGCCGACTAACCATCTGGATATTGAGACTATTGACTCGCTGGCTGAGGCATTGAATGAGTGGGATGGCGGCCTAGTTCTTGTTAGCCATGATTTTAGGCTTATAAACCAAGTGGCCCATGAGATATGGGTGTGTGAAAATCAAGCTGTGACCCGGTGGGAGGGTGATATTATGGACTTTAAGATGCACTTGAGGGGCAAGGCTGGCCTATCGGATTGAAGAAGCAGAAATTTGGATGATGATATACACCAGTTTTTATATGTCATTACTATTATTCCTGTACTAGCTGTCTTCCAATGCTTTCTGCGATTGATTGATTGATTGGATTATGACGAAAGCCAGGGGAGCAGAGGAGGTGTGATCATGGCTGGCTTGGTTCTTGTTCCTTCTCTGTTCGTTTATTATTTCAGGTTATTTATCTTTTTTCACCATAATACAATTTCTCCAATTATTATCCTTCGTTATTGACCAAGATTACATTACCCTACTCCCAGAGGAAGTGGTGCCTGTGAGATATACTCTCTATGTTCACAATCTATTATTTGACTTTAATGTCTGTACTCTAAAGGACTACAACCATACCATAACCTAGACATGGACGTGTGAGCTTAAAACCGACATGGATGTTCTTAATTAGTATGATCAAATCAACTTTATCTTCTGTTTTTTAGAAATCATTTGCATACTATTTGCTAGATCCTTTTTGTGGATTATGTGAATGCGGTTTGAAAGTTGGTGGAGTATGTGAATATTGTTTGCTTGTAATACATATTATTGCCCGTCTTTCTAGCATGACTCCTTTATGAAGGATCAGGTCCTTGGTCCTGCATAAATAAAGCAATATTTAGTAACTTCTGATAACTGAACTCCCTATTTTTTTATCAAAAAAAAAAAGATACTCCCTATTCGATTGGTTTAACAAATGCCCTCGATACTTGGGTAGAGGATCAATTTACTATTGGTGCTTTGAGAAAATCAGGGTCTTGCATCTCTAAAAACAGTGCTTTTTGATATTTTTGTATTACAAAATTTGGTTGATTATATGATTTTAAAAATAACTTTNTGTCTGTTTGGTTTGCATCTCTAAAAACAGTGTTTTTTGATATTTTTGTATTACAAAATTTGTTTGATTATATGATTTTAAAAATAATTTTAAAATACAGAAAATAATAACACATGTTATAGCAGTAATTCACAAAACTAATTTTTAACTTATCTTCTCACAGCAGTTCTCTCTCTCCTTTCTCCATTATCTTCTCACAACATCTCTCTCTCCGTTGTCTTCTCACATAGCACAAACATACACACACACATACATTGCACAATACACACGCATATAAATATACATATACAGATTTGAACATATAGTCGTCGGAGTGAAGTAGTAGTCGTCGGAGTGAAGTAGAAGACGCCTAGTTTCGCTGAGTGGAGAGAGAGAAAGTCAGGGAGAGAGGAAAACAAAAAAAAAAAAAGTAACCTATATTTTATGGCTAATTTTGCTGCTAAGGGGATTCGAAAGAAAAATCTCATTAAAGAGTGAGATTATTTCCCTTATTTTCTATTTTTAGCTTGAAAACTCAGAAAACATCTAAATAATGTTCTCTAATTGTTGTTCTCAATTTTCACTTTTTTTGAAAAATTATTTTTGAAAATTATTGTCCAAACAACATCTCAAAAAATTGTGTTTTAAGAACAAAAACTATTTTTAAAATACAAACCAAACACCACCTCAGATTTTCAGAACTTTCTACTATTATGAGGTCATGTTTGGATGGTGGCAAGGGGAGGATTGAGTTTTATTTCTGGCCTTTCAAATTCCACCCGATTGAGTGTGGTCATAGGATTCACATGGTCTTTTTTTATGTGGGACCCACAGATTGATATTTTTTTCGGATATTTTTTTTGGGTAAGTCCTTTACTTGTCAAAAAGAAAAAGTTGACAAAATTGTCCATTGTTTAATACAATCCATTTCCATGTTGGGGGTATTAATGTCTCTTTACTTCCTTATCCAGCTACTCAGCTTTCATTTCTTTCTCCTTTTGTTTGCTGAAGCCTACATATATTTTATCAGGTGTAGCATATCTTGGATGAGAGCGCCTCAAAATTCCAAGCCTAACATCTCCAACCAAACAATATTTAAAATTCCGTTTAAATATTTTTGTCAAATTTCCCCAAAACCCACAAAACAAACATGTCCAAAGGTGTCTGGTTTGGAAGTTTCTCCCACACATTATTCAACAAAGGTTTCTTCTGGTATGTGCACTGCCATCCGGATGCTGCCTGATTATCAAATCGAAGGTACTGTGTAGATTGGGATGTTTGTTTGATGGGNTCTCCCACACATTATTCAACAAAGGTTTCTTCTGGTATGTGCACTGCCATCCGGATGCTGCCTGATTATCAAATCGAAGGTACTGTGTAGATTGGGATGTTTGTTTGATGGGTTTCGGCGGGTTTGAAAAGGTGGGTTTAAATAAAATACACCGATAAACCACTTAAAATTAAATCCATGAATATGGTTTCAACAAACCCATGGGGCTGGATTTGAAATCAACCAACCTAGAATATAATGGTAAAAAGATTTTTCTATCTCTAATTTACCCAATTACAAAGGATTGAATAGGATAATTTAGCCAATTACATGATAAATATTTAGTTATAATTGTAATTAATTCGTGAGTCCCACATATGTTTATGCTACTTATCAAACAAAAGTATGTTTATGCTACTTATCAAACAAAAGATTGGAGAGGATTTATGTATGAAACTTGTGTACAAAAGGGGGGTTTTGGGTTTGCAAAGGTGCTAAAAGTAATCCAACCCTCCATTCTAAAACCATGCAAAACAATTGATGAGATTATGATACCATTTTTTTTTTTAACAGCATTTTTTTTTTTTTTGGTCAATCTAAAAGTCACAAAAAAAGTGACACACATAAAGTTATATTATTTTACTAATTTATTTTATATTATTATTTTTTTGATCAATGACTGTAAATAACTCAGAAAAATCTACGACATCATTTTTTTATGATAAATTATCAGAACCATAGACATATCCTATGGTTGTTTACATTTATGAAGGTAAATGTAAGCAACGCTGTGGTTCTTCCTAAACATATTGCCAGTACGTATTGCTACCACTTCTCAGTGCTTTTATCTTTTAGGCCGAAGTCACTGGGAAACGTAACATAAACTGGCTCTTGGGCCTCTCTCCTCTCTCCCCTCTCCCCAAAATGACTCACTGTCTCTAAGTTTTAGTATTTCCCTATTTGAACTACCTTTTTTCCTTTGATCTTTTTTGTACCCACATTTATGTCAAGAATCACTATTTTTTAAGATTTAGTCTTCAAATTAAATAATTATTTTTGTATAGATTACAACATTAGTGCATGCTCGACTCTTCTACACACTTGTTAACACGAATTCTTTAATACACCAACATATTGTACTAAAGAATTTATTAATGTTGAATATTCTAGGCTGGAGTAATGTTTGACTAACAAAATAAAAAATTAAATTATGGGATGGAATAATGAGGTCAAAATAGACTACGTAAAATTTTAAATTTAAAACAAGCGACAAATTAGAGTCTAAGACAAGCATTTACATGTAATGTTTGAATTTAAAAAGAGTTTCAAAATTTTGATTCTACCAAATCAAAACATTGCTTATTCAACAAAACTACACTAGCACTAGGGGTGCAACTTGGGTGGGTTGAGAGGTAAACCCTAATCGAACCTTAAGTATATAATTTTCAACTCTAACTGTAATCGTATCTTAACCCGAGTATTGCCAAAGTTTAATTCAAGCGGGCTTAGGTTGAANTTTGATTCTACCAAATCAAAACATTGCTTATTCAACAAAACTACACTAGCACTAGGGATGCAACTTGGGTGGGTTGAGAGGTAAATCCTAATCGAACCTTAAGTATATAATTTTCAACTCTAATTCTAATCGTATCTTAACCCGAGTATTGCCAAAGTTTAATTCAAGCGGGCTTAGGTTGAATTCGGGCTAATTTCGGGTTAAAAATCGGGTTGCGCTTGAGTTACTTAATTCGAATTGATTTTTTTAAGTGTATATTTAATTTTTTCAAATGTAAATATGATTTTTTTAAGTGATCTGAGATGAGGAATAAGACGCAGATGAAAAGAAAGAAAGTGAGAGNTTTTTTCAAATGTAAATATGATTTTTTTAAGTGATCTGAGATGAGGAATAAGACGCAAATGAAAAGAAAGAAAGTGAGAGGAGGAGTGACGAATGAGAGAATAAGGCTAAGAGTCTGAGACTATTCAAAAGAGTGACGATTGAGAGAGAGAGGCTGCGAGAGGAAGGAGTAATGAGTGAGAGAGGGATCAAAGAGTGATGGAGATGTAAGGGTAAAGACTTGAAGTGAAATGAAAATCTGAATTTTAAAGAAGGAAGATAAATACTAACCCTAGTTAAATATATTTATATATTTATGTATATTCGGGTTCAACCCAACAACCCGAGATTTGCCCAAATTTAATTCAGGTTAAAGTTTTTTTGCTCAGGCCCAACCCAAGTATTAAAAAATCTAACCCAAATCCTATTTTTCGGGTTGGCCCGCCCAAGTTGCACTCCTAACTATCACGACAACGTTTATGGTATGTTTAGTTGAGTGAATGAAAAAATGAAAAGTAAAAGTAATACATTTTCTATCCTTTAAAAGCAAAATTATTTTTTTCCCTCCTTTGTATTTGGTAGGAAATATGGAAAGTAGAATTTTTTAATTTTTTTTTTGTTTGATAGGATAAAAAAATGGAATGATGGAAAAAGTATAGATACATACTTTATATATATACACTATAATATATGCATATATTAAAAGATATATAGGTAAATAGCATACATTTTAATACAAATAATTAATTTTTCATCTACTTTTTCTCTAAATTTTAGAGGGATTAATTTTGGTGANTATATGCATATATTAAAAGATATATAGGTAAATAGCATACATTTTAATACAAATAATTAATTTTTCATCTACTTTTTCTCTAAATTTTAGAGGGATTAATTTTGGTGAGTTAAAAAAAAAACTAATCCATTCACTTTTTCATCCTTACCAAAAATTGATGTTTTAAATTTTTCTCCAACTTTTCATGCTTCTATTTTTCGTCGTACCAAACAAAACATTAGTGTCTTAATTTGATCCCATTTTTGGTGTCTTATGGGTCAATACATGCAACTAAAGGGGGATTCTAATGATATCATACAAAATCTCGAAAGAAAGAAATAGAGAAAACAAACACATTAATGGAGATTTCAAGGTAGAGTCCACAAAAACATCAGTAATTCACACGTTGTATTCAACAGCTCTTCACCACAGTTTTACAGGAACCCCAGTTTACGCCACCATTGCAGTCTCTCTGCTCCACCTATTGCTCAGACAACATCCTCTCGAGCTCGCTCGGCCGACAGGGGATCGTTAGTGCACCCTCATGATCGAAACCATACTCTTCTGCTGCTTGCTCCAAGAGTCTTAAGAACAATGGGTGTGTAAGATAACTCAATGGAACGATGAATCTCTTGAGTTCATCGTCGTCCACTGCAATCACAGCGAAGTGCCCTTCCTTGACGTCGTCTGGCACGTTGTTTGAGTCGCTGATTTCTTCAAACTCATCGGTATCACCAGAAGATTTCGTTCCAAAGAGAAAACTTCTTTGCAGCTTCTCTGCCACTATCTTAAGCTTGAAAAGGCCATTCTTTTTCTTACGGCTGGATCTGAGATTAGCCATTGTTTTTTTTTTCTTTTGATCAACTCACATTGCCTCGTACTCCCACATATATTGGCAAGCTTATATAGTGTAAGACACGGTAAGAGGGTTGACAGATAAAAAGTGGACGGTTGACATAGAGCGCGCACGAGAGAGAGAGAGAGAGAGAGAGAGAGAGAGAGA